TACTCAGTATTCTTTTTTTTTTTGCACATGTTTATTTCATTGTTGGGGAAAGCAACCCCATTAATTTATTTGGCATTGAAGAATGATGTGCTAAATTCTTGTATTTGCAGGTCACAACTCCAGATGACTTGTTACTTGCAGAGAGAATTCTGAGTATGAAATAACACATTCTCAGGTCTCTTAAGTGCCTCTGCTACATGTGAACAACCTAAAGCGACATGACCTCTAGAAAGAGGTGGAGAAATAAACCACAACAGTCCCCCTCAAAGATTTTCTATTGTTTGGAAACATGAGAGGCTTTTTGAGAAATTTTTAAGTTCTTCCTTGTTGTAGGGTTGCTATTAAGAGGAGAATTATGCTGAGGATAAACCAGAGGCTGGCTCAGCAGTAGATGAAGGCCATAGTTTCTGTGGCAAAGAACGTATTATAGCAATAAAGATTTTGCAGGAGACAGTATGATTATTAAAGCAACCCTTTAGCTTTTTTGGTCTTTCCATGTTTGTCTTATATAAATCAAATCTAATTCTAAGTGGTAAATAACAGTCATTCATAATTGTTATCTTTTAAAAAATAATTCTAAATAAAATATAATAATAATAATAATAATACTAAATATGTTTCACTTATGGTGGTGTAATACTAAACAAGGTTAGGTTTTGAAGGTATTGATCATATGCTTTGTAATTAGTGGGGGATGTGAATTATATTAAATAAAAGCATTGAGCCATCCTAAGTTGAAAATTTAAACTTTATTTCTGTAGCTTTTACTGTTCTTTTTCGTCTCTTAATTCACCCATAAAAATGGCCAAACCTAAAAGAAAATTGCCGAATTCCAGCAGAAACTTTACATTGACCTTTTCTGTCATTGAGCTCACATGGCTTGACTGGAAAATTAAATACATAAAAAAATATATAAATTTAAAGAAACAAATGACATCAAGAAAGCCAATATATTGAGCTTTCTAAATTACCTTCTACATCTGTTTTCAGTTTTCTTCGATTTCCCACACTCGCCAAACAACAAAAATCGTCCGGTTCTGCGTGATCCCACGGGCGTTCCCTTGACCTGTTAAAAGAAAAAGCTCATGTTGCATATTCTTGAAACAAAATTCATGCAAATAACTTTAATGTTGAGAGAAAGAGAGGAGAAGGGGTTGCAGCAACAGCCTACCTTGGCCCTTCTGTGAGGCTTCGAGTTATTCCAACAGAACAACCCACTGCATCCTCCAGTTCCTGATCCTGATTCATATCCACTGAAGAGAAACCATGAATGAACATGAAGAACATAAAACTAAAACAGCCAACAGCCATGTGATTTTATATATATATATATATAACACCAAAACAAATCTTGGTCCATTTCGTTAAATAGAAAGCTCTTAGTTGCAGCGACTAGAATTGAATCCTAAATCCTAACAGCTTCAATATATATATATATATATATACAGACATGTAACACTAAAACAAACCTTGGTCTATTTCGTTAAACAAAGGCAATAAATCCCATCAAACAAGTGCTAAAACAGCATTCTCATGAATGTTATAAAATATTTCAATTGGCAGGAACAAACATAAAACTAATGCCCTATTCTTACTATTACTGAGGGAATAGTAAAAAAAATTCAAGTTAAATACAAAATCCAAGAATTAGCTAGCAAGATCATTCCTACCAGACAAAAAGAAGGTACAATGGTACAACAATTAATAAGTTAATAATGTCTCATACATTAACATCTAAAGCAAATCTTTGGATCAATTTAAACCAAATATTAAAGATTTAACTATAAACTTTTATAACCAAAATACACAGAAAATCAACCAGAAATCAATGATTTAACTAAATTGATAAGTTATGACTAAGTACAGAAACTTTTAGACACAATTAAGATTTTAAGAGTGTTCAAACCCATGCCAATTTTTTTTACCAATGTACTAAAAATATTAGCTTCCAGTTAATGATGAAAAATTAATCAATGGCCATCATACTGAATGATTTCAAGAATGTTCCTCATTACGAAGGCTTTTTGACTTGTAATGATAGTACTAAATATTCAGCCGTTGCATTGACTTAACTAATTCAACAAATGCCTTTGAATCAACATAGAGAAGAATTGCTAAATGATGAAAATATTAGGCAAAACCAGTTATGAGATCGGTCAAACTCACAGGTTTTCTTTGCTTAAACTGCTATTATGCAGCAAGCTGGGAGACATGGGATAATGATCAGCCCTTCTACCTATCTGGTCCTTCTGAATCACTTGCCCGTCATTTGTTCTCAAAATTTTAAGCTCACGGTTCAGTTCGTCATCCCATTGGTGAGAGGAGAATGCCGATAAATTCATTGATCCCAAATTATTTTGACGATAGACCTCTTGAGGCAGAACCTGATTCTTTTCAGGCTTCAATCGATCCAATGACCCAGGAGTGCCTTTCGCTACAGCTTGTAACCAGGCAGTTTCTAACCTTTGCTCACGTATAATGGATTCAATTCTCTGCATTGGAATCTCTTGGCTACCCTCCTTTGAGCTGCCAATGTCAGCAGTGCCTTCAGCTAGTAATTCAGGTATTCTAACAATAGATCGTGCAGAGCAATTAGAATAGTCTTGTACTCCTCTCAGTTTACCTTCCAAATCACTAAAACTTCCCTTGGATAGTTTTAGCGACTCTGGATTTAAGTCTAAACCAGAAAAACCTTCTAGTACATTTTTAGAAATGGCCTTTCCGTCCTCAATTTCAACAGCAGTTTCAGCCTGCTGCAGACTTTCTGGCATCTCTGCTGGATGTGCATGGTCTAAAGAAACCTCACCATCTGTCAAGAGAATTAATCGAACTTCTACACTACATCTCATCACTATTTCAATAGAGTTCGTAATACTGCTTAAAAACCTTTCAGCCCTAGACTTGATATCTCGATCAGCAAATGTGAGATAGGCAATTAGAACACCTGCTAGCAGAAAAACTGAAAGTAAGAAATAAAGAGAAAAATATAAATGCTTGACTAAAAAGTAAGCTTCGCCATGAAATAGAATGCACAGCATGTGCACTGGATAAAGATAAATAAGTGTTTTCCCACAAGAAAAGATTGAAAAGAACAGGTGGAAGTACAAATATAGATGGAATGAGTAGACTATCTTATTTGAACATTATATCCATTCAACCTCCAGATCTTGTTTCAATTCCTAGCAAACTTCAAAGAATAGAAACCCAAGAATTTTTTCCTGAAGTAAACACACACACTCTAGAGAAAAGGTGAAACATGCATCAAAGTCTATTTCAGCTTTGATTTTAGAAACATGAAAACATTGGCAAAAAACAGTACATGGCCTATGTAACATCGAGTCTGGATCACCACATTGGTGACCTACCAGTTAAGCTCTCAGAGTTGGAATACAATGTCATTGTAGAGAACCCTTTTAAGAATTGACACATGGTATACCAAATAGAAAATTTTACCCATAAGGCAAAGAAAATTCAGTAGGGCAGCAATAATGCTTGGAATATTGGACCCAAGAAACCATTTAATTCTATTATAACTGTACAAAAAATTCACAAATAAAATTCTTAATCTTCTGAAGTATATCCAATGCATGTTCACTTTAGGATACATTTCCTAATTTCAAAATGTAGATATATAATGAGATAACATAAGTAAAAGCATCACTAAAATCTTCTTTTTTTCTCACTTTTCAACATAAGATCACAAGTTCCAAAAAAGTCATCAATAGTGTAAAAAGTAAACACGTTAGATCAGCCCGTCATGAATTTTCAACTAGAAATTTAGGAAGCAAGATTGATCAGTCTGTCAGAATAAGAAACACTAAACTAAATTTAAGAACCAGCTGAAGAGTATCTATCCCTGTAAAAGAATTGCCATCTCTTTGGCATTGCAGTAATCTATTATGCATCAGAAACCTTTATAGTCTATCTCACAAATATATTTCTCACAAGCTGACTAGAACAAGATTGATAAGACCAATTTGATGTCAATTTTATCAAGAATAGTTATATCTTGTGTAATTTGCAAAATTATTCGAAATAGTTTAAAGTTTATGGGCTTACCTTCATCTTCAGCAAGAGACAAAAGCTTCCCATGATCATGTAGAAGCTGTCTCAATGTCTTTGAGTGGCACTTGTCAATACACTTTGCCCAGATGTCATCTAATTTTTCTAAATTTCTGCAGGCAAGTATCATATTTCCACTCAAATTATTGTCACATGCAGCAGGTAAGGCACCACCATCCATAATTCGGCCATGTGAAGGTCCAGAACTGGAACCATAACCATCAATCCTTGACACTAATTCTCCCTGATGATTGGGATTCCCATTCACAGATTTGTGTAAGGATGCAGAAGAAGTTGATTTCCAGGGCATAAACTGAGTTCCTGACTTTTGCTTGTAAGCTATAGCTTCCCTTGACGTGCTTGATGGGTCATCTTCAGTTGTCTTTGAGCTCTGCCTCCAGCTGCTGCTCGACTGAGTGAGATCTGGTGAAGGCCATGAACCAAGCTGAAGCAGTATAGCTGTAAACCATGTCGAGCGTTCAGTTGAAACTCTTAATTGTTTCTCTGCTTCTGAAAGAAGCTTCAAAGCATCTTTTAATCTCTCTAGTTCTGCTTCAGTCACTGCAGCAGACACCAAAGATCCATAAGAAAATTTTCAAAATAATAAAAATAATGTAAGAATAATAATAATAAATGCAGAAAAGGCACTGCAAAAAATTAGGCACCTAGAACAAAATGCAATAGGGGTATCATCTCCCTTTTTTGGTACAAGAGTATTATCACTTTCACAATTTCACAACCATTTAATATCACCGACGAAGTATATACAGCCATGGATAAAAAATCACAAGATGCAAGAAACTACACCATTCTAAAGAGCAGCAAGTAAAATTAAACATATTCTCATAAAGCGCAGACCACAATATGGGTCATATTGCACTAGTATATACCATCCATGTCCTTGATCTTGTTCTCCCTCTTGTGACATGAATATCCTCCATTAATTTACATATTCTCATGATAGCATCGCTAAATCTCCTTTACACATTGAAGCCACCCTAACATGTTTACTTCATTTTGTTCTTACTGGACTCAGTATACTCATTTGCAACATTGTCTTTCCTTATATACATATGCATCAATTGAACCATTTTCATATCAGTGGCACTCATGCTGTATCAGTTAATTGCTTGTCTTATCATTTTCCTATAAAGTATTTCCATTGAATTTCTGAAAATTTTGAGGTTAGATGACTCCCAATGCACTTCTCCATTTCCCCATCATGCTCAAATCCTATATGTGATATCTCTCAATTTCCCTATCCTTTGGGATAATTGAACAAGATATAAAGACCTTGATTCATGGTATGGTCTACAATTCTTACTGACTTTCCTCCCAAACCTACTAGTAGCAGTTTTGCATTGTTTTTCATTTTAAGTACTCTTTTTTAGACTGACTAAACCAAGAGCCTTTAGGTTCCATTGTTGCTCTCCATAAGCATTAACCCTTTTGATGTAGAAGAAGTAGGGAAAAGAGATAGAATATAGAAATCTAGAGGGGAAATCAGAAATAGAAAGCAATTAGGGAGGAACAGAGGCACTCAAGGGAGAAACAGAAGAACTAAAGGGGAAAACCACAAAGAATCAATAGAGGGAGGAAATCTCAATCATCATTATCACAATAACTTCAATACCCATCATCCAAAAGCTAATTGAAACTAAAATAACATGTTAAATAACATGCATCACATATCTATCAAAAGGAGTCAATATATGGGGGCAGAGCCTCCTATAATACCATGTTAAATTTTAAGACAGGTAACCAACCTAAAACCCATTGGCATAAGTGGAGAGTACCTTATTGTATTTATATATAAAAGATATCCCTATTTAATCAATCTGGGGTTTCTTTTTCTCACTGGTTTAACATAAAGGTTGATCCTGGATGCAAATATATTGCTATTGGCACAAAATATAATATCCTTCACAAGTCCATGCACATAAGTACTCCATCAACATGTTCTTTATGGTTTAAGTACATGTAACAGACTCTTTTTTCTTTCAAGACCTTTAAGAGGATTTCCCTGCGGACTTTATTTTAACACCTTTCTATATCAGTTAACACAATGTGCAAATCTGTTTGTTTATAATGAAATCTCCTGAGCAAGTCCTTAGAAAGATAAATAGCTTCCATGATTGATTCTTATAATGGTGATTTGGTACTAGAGATTGTAAAAAACCCCGAATCTGACTGATTCAGTCTGCCCCATAACAATAGGAGCAATTTTTTCATAAAAATTGTTCTTATTAGGGTACGGGAACATTTTCAGGAAAAAAAAAAGGTGTCAAGGCAAGGACAGATTTGCCTAAGCTGTTCCGGCCCATGATTATTACCAAATTGCCCCTAATGTTTTTACTTTATGTACTTTACGATTACCAAAATGCCCCTAATATATAACATTAGGAGATACCCAGTGTTTCTTCCATTTCCATTATCAAGTTCCCCTATTTTCTACATTCTGTTTCAGATAATAGGATAATTTCAAATTTTCTCTTCAAATTCAATTGGGTTATTTCTCTAGTGTCATTTATTATATTTTTTTTGGTTGGTTGTGTTGTGTATGGTATATAAATATTTCCATTTTTCAGATTTCTTTTGTTCTTTATACTTTCTTTAAGTTTTCATTTCAAAAGGGAATTTTCTTTGTTTGAATGTGAACAGAGAATTGAAGAGAAACTAAATTACATAAGGACCTCTAACTTTCTGTGGAAGTAAGCCATTTGAATATACAAAAGGAATCACTATGAAGCAATGGAAACTAAATCACATGAGGTCTAATTCCAAGTTCCGGAACTAAGATTTTGGTAGAAATGAGAAAGTATTATTCAATACCTTAAGGTGGAAAACTAGGTTTGGATACCACTAGTCTATAGGTGAAGGGAAATCCAATATAGTAAAAGGCAAAGGAAACCCTCTCACCCTATCTCCTAAAATGTGAAGCTCTCCAGTCATGCTTACACAACGACCACACCTTATCTTTTAGTGCAGGATATGGAACTTGATATCTTGAGGTCGAACACTAGGCAGTAATGTTACTAGAGTTGAAAACCTTATCTTGGTTAACGTACAATGTACAAACTATTTTGAACAAATCTTTGGCAGGCCTCATACTTTCTCTTCTGTGCTTGCCATTACCTTTCAAACAACCTCTACTTTTACTCTTTCCCTTCATTTTCTTCCCCTGTCAACACTTGTACTACAAATGAATGCATGCTGCTTATATACAAAACCAGGAAATGATAGACCATATCATGCAATGGTATATTCCCTAAACTAGCTAGGCTAGGTATGCAACTAGATAGAGATTCACCTCTTTGTGGTTTGAGTAGCCTATTGAATAAGTCAAGCACAAAAATCTAACTCAACAAAACTGAGAAATACATACCAAATGAAGCTAGTATGTACATTCTATAGTTGCATACAAGCATGAGTTCACTCATGTTTTCAGGTACAGATCTTTTAATTTTTATGAAGCAGTCAACAAAGGTTACAAGTCTAAACATGCCAAGCATATCTTTGTTTAGAATTCCAACAAATATAAGTTAATTTCTCTATTACATTTAAACAAATCAAATTTGCTGATGTCAATTATCTTTCCAAGTTGAATAAATCAACTTGGACCTTCTATTAAAAAGTTTTAATGTGTACCAAGGGGCACCCTCATAGATCCACAAACATCTAATCCTGTAAGAGGGTTTGACATCAAACTGTCAAAAAGAAGCCTTTCTCTTTATTACAGATTAGTTTCAGCAAATAAAGTCAAAATCACATTATGCGGGCTGATTCAAATTCGGAACTTGCATTTTAAAGTACTAAAAAGATAATTACATTTTAGCAAAGTTCTTATACTTGCAACTCCAAAAAAATAAGATTATTCTGTGGCAAAACCATACTTCCGAACATTTATTGATATCGAGATTACTAAAGGGCATGGCTAACATAAAGTAGTAAAATCCTACACAGTTCAATTTAGGTTCGTTTTGGTCTGAACAACCTCACTTCAACACTTTATGTTTCTTCCAATGTTTATTCAAAACCAGGACACAACTCATTTTCAACTCATGACATGACCTTCTCTTGTTTCCTTTTTTCTTTTTTTTTTCTGGTTATTTTGATCTCTACAACCATTTTCCTTTTCATCATATGCTGACTTAAGTATATCAAACTAATAATATTAGAATAGTGATATGCAATTTTCATTATCAAGAAGCTTTCTCTATTATCAAAGAAACAGTAACAAATTAATGGGATTATACTCACAAGCTCGTCCACCAAAGAATGAGTGGCAGTACTTAGAATCAGCAATATTGTATGTTCCGGCAATGATATCCATAATAAGGCTGGCTAGTTGGGACATCAAAACCATTGGATCAACCCCTGAGTCCATCAACTCTCTAGCTCTTTTCACTGTTTCTGCTGTGTCAGATGACATTGCTAATTCCAGAAGCTCCAGTAACTTCACATCTGAAACAACTCCTACCTGCAGAAAGAAAGTGATATAAATAAATTCAAACCGTTCACACATAGTAAACTTACTATATTGCAAATTTTGGAAAATAAAGTAGTCCTTATTGCTGAGACTTGCTAAACTTACTATATTCCAATATTTTATTCTATTAACCATAATTTTATAATGTTCCTGAAGTGACCAATTAAAACCAGAAAATGAAGAAACCATACCAAGGAAACATTTTCCAGCATACTCACAAGTTCATTTACGAGAGAAGTAGTGATTCTTTTACCCAACAAACTTAGCTGGTCTAGCATTGTTTCTGCATCTCGAAGTGAACCATCTGCATTCAATGCAATTAAATCCAGTGCATCTGATTCGACCTCAAGATTCTCATCCGTAGAGATCTTCCTCAACCTTGCCATGATATCACTATCTTTTATTTTGTTGAAGAGGTACTTCTGACATCGTGATTGCACGGTACGTGGTACATTGTCTAGATCAGTTGTTATGAATATGAATACAACACGTGGTGGAGGATCTTCAAGGAATTTTAGCAATGCCAACCATATCTTGGAGGGCAACAAATGGCACTCATCAAAAACAAAAACCTTGTATCTTGATGAGTTTGGTGGCAGCCCTGTTGACATGTTTCTCAAAACGTACCTGACTCTGTCAATTCCTTTTTTATTGGTGCTATCAACTTCCCAAAGCTCCCTGCTTTTCCCAGAAATGAACTCAGTGCATTCTGTACAATACCCACAAGGTTTAGCATCTTCAGTAGCCATACAATTCAAAGCGGCAGCAAAAATTCTGGCTGTTGATGTTTTTCCAGTCCCGCGGGGACCTTGGAAAAGATAGAAAGGGGCAATCCTTCCCCTTGAAACAGCATTCATAAGGGATTGTACCACAATATTCTGCCCAATCAGTTCATTAAAGAAAATTGGTTTGTATTTCTGGCTTAAGCTCTTAATATTCTCTGGAGTACCCTCCTCCTCTCCTTCTCCAGTAAGAGCTACAATTTCCAACCCATCTAGACTCCTACAACTTGATGACCATCTCCTTCCATCCAATCTACTCAGGGCCTCCAAATCAAGCTCTCCAAAGTTTGTAGAGAGCTCATCATCACTATACCTGGTTCCAATGGATGACCCTCCTCTTCCATCACCACTATTGCTAAGCAATGGTAGACATTGAGCACTTCTTAAAGCAATTTTCTGCTTATTGGGAAGCGATGATGATCGTCTATGTCTATGGTACACCAACTGGCTTCCACAGAGAATGCTACTTCCTTTCCTCAAAGTATCAGAGAGGGAAGGAGAGTAACAACTCCCACAAACACCTCTATGTTTTGGGGTCCTCTTTGTCCAATAGCAAGGAATCCCACATCCTTGTTGACCTGGCAAATCCAAAGGGTCACCCACCTCCTCATTCATATCATTAAATGAAGTTGTGGTCGCATCCCATGAGCCAACAGTGCTTGGGTTATGGTTAAAATACTTATTATAAGAACTAGTAGACAAAGCTGGGGTGCTATAACAATAAGAAGAATCTTCCTTTCTGCCAGTTTTCAACAATCTAGAGGATGAATGTGACCAGTTCTTGCGCTTGGGTTTGAGAAGCAACGGGGATGCCCCTGAAATCTTGCGAAAATCCTCAGAATTACTATAATCTTCAGTGTCATCCGATTGGTCAACAGAATCATCCCTTCCTAAACCTAAAGCCAATGCAGGACGAGCCCGGAGCAATTTTCTTGAATTGACTGAATTTCTATTAACAGCACTCTTTTTCTGTTCATATGGACAAAAAACATCGTTATGGGCACAATTTTTCTTACTCTTTTTGCTGGCCCCCAATATTCTTTTGGTGGATGGTGTGGCCGATGAGACGGGATTTGCATCTCTACATCTGAAAATCATTGAAGCAGAACAACTCTCACCCAAATAGGTATCACTCTTTGAATCCACACCGTTCCTTGCATCACTCAAGCTATTATCATCAACACTGTCTTGAATCCAAGAAGAGGACCGATCCCCATCATCATCATCATCATCCTCATCCTCATCCATATTTATTGATGATGATTGCTGACCCTTCCAATTATAAAGAAAGACTCTCTTCTCCTTCTCATTGCCATTGCCATTACTATTATTATTAGCATTATTAATATGACCACGAACACTGCTTTCAACTCTAACAGGTAACTGAGATAAATCCAAATAAGCATTCCCATTTGGCCTGTTTAAACTTTCATTATCGAAATTATTACCTGCTGCTGCTGCTGCTACTGCTGCTGCTACAGATCTAGAGGAACTGAGAGGTGATTTCCAAGAAGAAGTGGTCCCAGGATCCCGCAAAACGCGGGCAGCTTTCCGGATTTGAGTGAGCTCCTTCTTCAAGTGCAGCCTGCTTGGATCAGAAATTCTCACATCTGACATTTTTTTTTCTTTAGGCTCAAATCAACTAAAGAAGAATCACCCCACAACAACAAATTGTTTAAAAACTATACATTTCCATTTCATCCATCGCATCTATAAAAAAATGTATGCAAAAAATTTTAAAAAATGAAGAGAAATAGGAAAGGCAAGTGTTGGAACGAGGGAAGATCTGACAGGTTTTCCTTCGGACAGTGTTTTCATTGGTTGACAGAGTGTCTATCAATGTCTAATGGAATGTAATGAAATGGAATAGTTACTTCTCCTCAAACTGATTTTTTTTTTTTTGGTTGCAATTTCTAAGAACTACTAGGGTTTTTGTCGCCTTCTTAGTTGGCGCCCCTAATCAATTCTTCGAAGTTGAATCTCCTTTTCATATGTTCCTTTTCATTTTCTGGTCAAACTCAAAATTTTAAGACCAAATGAGAAATTCCCTCCAACCGCGGAGATCACGGCACACTCCTTTTTTTCTTATTTTACCTCCCTTTTCTTTTTTTTTCCTTTCTTTCTTCTTTTTTTTACTCCTCAAGTCACGGTCTTTCATACTTTTATTTAATAATTTTTATTAAAATTTTTAATTTTTTATAAATATAATGTCTTATAATAAAAAAAACTAAAAAAAAAAATTTAAAATATAAAGAAATAATTTTCTATGACATTCACATTATTCTCATAGGTGACCAGTTCGAAAATCAACTTTTGAGTTTCAACTTTTATCAAACCCAAAACAACTTTCATTGTGACCAAAAAAATCACTTTTTATCAAAACCAGAAGGATATGCAATTAAAATAATTGGTAATGATCATCAAATTTAAGTCAAATAAATGAGAACCATAGATGCTAATATCACATATAGGATGGCAGTTTAATCGATATTTGATAAATTTTTATTCAATTTAATTTTGGATAGAATAATAATAAAATAAATTTTAAATAAATTTATTTTAATTTAATTTGAGATATATATCAATAATTTTATTTTTTAATTATTTAATTAATTTAATATTTATATTTAAAATATAATATTTTATTACTTAAAATCAGATCATGTACGATATTGTATAATAAAAAAAATATCAAATCAAATCAAATTCAATTATTGTAAATATAAAATCAATTCAAATTTAAAACAAAAAAAATCACTCTAATTTAACCTGTTGTCATCTCAAATCACAAATCATTGTCATCCCTAATCACAAATCACAAATCATGTCTTTCTCCGAAAATTATTTATGATAATTTGCTTTAATTAGAATTCAACTCTTATAAAGAAGACACATCTTGATTTTGGGCTTCATTTTTAGTAAAAAATATTGTAATTTGAAAATAAAAAAATTATAAATAATAAAATTTAAATCATATACCTCCTAGATAACAATGACTATATAAATCATATAAGTTAAACTCCGAATCCACGCCACCACATTGATTGTTAGAAAAACACAAGATACCATTAACAAATGCAAAAATAAAAAATAAAATAAAAATAAAAAGGCAAAACAAATGTGTAGAAGAAATTATGCATAGAGATGAAACTAGAAAACTGCAGCAACATATCATATATAATATTTCTAGTTGCCAACATCAGTTTAAAACAGAATTCCAATAAAAATGAAAACAAAGCAGGAGCCAAAGTGTTGCAAAACTTAAAATCTCATCAGCAGTCATCCAATTCATCAACTCTGTTTTACTTCCAAACTATAAACCTTGTCTGCTTCCTTTAAATTGGTTTGAGTCCAAACTTCTGAGCCTGCTTTCAAACTCTAGCCCTCTTGCTACTGCAACTTGGGCACTTATACTGTTTGATATGCTCAGCCTTTGCAGGTGTAATCTTCACACATTTTCCATGGAACCATCTCTCGCAGATGTCACAGCAAATCCAGAATTCATCAGTGCCATAGCTATCCCCACATGCCCCACATGTTGCACCCTGTTCATCATCTTCCTCATCTTCTTCCCCACTCTCATCCTCATCCTTTGATGGTGGAGTCGTCTTTACCATCTTACTCTGAGGTTCAGATTGACGAGACTGCAAACAGCAAAGATATGAACAGGACATGAAATAAGAGAAACAAATATAAAAACACAAAAGAATCAAGTTTACTTTTGGAACTTCATACCACTTTCGAACTTGATTTGCTTTTGCCACTGCTGTTGTGATTAGCAGATTGGTCCTTTGGTTGCTTGACATTTCCTGTCACGACTTCAAATATGGTCGGAAGATCATTTATCATCTGGAAAAGCCTTTTCCTGCAAAAACATAAAAAATCCATTTAGAAAAATATTAGCAAATATCAAATTGACTAATTCACTGGATAAGGTAATTGTAGGGCCAACTTATCAAGATATTGTGGAAGTATCATTCAAGTAAAAGACAGGAAAAACCTGAGGAAAGGTCATCCCCCCACCCATCCCCTCTCTCTCACACACACACACGCACAAACAAACATAGAAAAGACTCACAAATCAAGTCCCTTATCGGTGGGGACATGCATGTGTTTATGGGGACAGTAAGTATGCATGCGTGTCACCAGCACCTGAGATTAGGGAAAATGGTATTCAATAATTTCTTTTCTTTTATTCAATGAAAGAAAGTTGTGAGAACGGGATCCTTCAGTTCAATGATAAAAGACTGCCCAAAGACACAGAAGCAACAATTATAGTGCTCAAATTAAGAGGTGGCAGGTGAAGTGGTATTTTTCTACATATTCCCAGCAAACAGGGCCTATCTCTTTTCTCTCACAGCTGCCTCTACCTTCTGCTTACCATTTTATTTTTTGGTCAGATAAGCCTCCTCACCATTGCCATTACACCACCACAAGAACGGAACTAAGGACTCATTTTGCTTCTTTCCCAAAATACAAAGTCCAAATCTTTGAGATGGACCAGGCCCTGGTGCCAGCAGACCGGGCCCAGGTGTGGGTGCACCAGGCCCCAGCAGACCCAACAGACTGAACTTTCTAGAAGGATCTGGAGACATTCCCCACTAGAGCAAGTCCTGTCCTATTAATCATAAAGCAATGCAAATTCACGTGCCTATAAGCATTCATTGAGCTACGGCTGCAGGACATCACACCTTCAAATAAAAAAGAAAAAACACTATAGCAACAAGTAGAGCTCTTGTTCCTGTCAATCTAGACCAGAAAACATGTAATCATCAGATCAGTAGCTTAGCTATGTTTGAGCACACATATATGCATGTGACACTACTTAACTTTAACAAGAAAAATAATAGCTAAATCATCCTGTCTGAGTGTGTAAATATTTAGAAGTAAAATCCAACAAACACTTCATTTCAATGGCAATCAAGACTTTCGTCAGCATTATATAACACTAGTCAAGTAGTCAAATGGAATAGAACATCTCATTTAGCATTTTGGCATCCATTACTACCTCTCAAGACCCAAACCATGCTCTCAAACTTAGCAACATGATATTTATACAAAGTAAACAAGATAGTTACTACCTCAGGTGTTTGAAAGTAAGGCGTAGACAATTTTGGCATGTCAGCAAGAAAGTAACAAAAGTAACAGAATATCTCCCTACTCATCTATTTACCAAATTTAAAACAAAAGGTACACAAAATTAAAGATAGGAGTGATGATTAAACAGACTTTCCACAACTTTGTACATGTACTATTACTTAATCCTTCACAAACTTTGTGCTTTGAATGAATGACAGTCAGATTGGTAACCTTCAATATAAATTTGAAATAAACTAATTTGAAGAGAACTAGAATATTGGATTTCTAGATTAGTAGACGCAACAAAAATAATGCAGTTAGCACTAATTTTAAAATTAAACCATGATACAGCAGCAACTGAGCTGTGCAAACAGAGACTCAATGTTCCAAATTGACAACGAAAAAGTAAACATACCTCTCATTCTTGCCAAACCCAAATCGTGCACCAAAATAGAAAGCAACAGCAAGCAACCATGAATCACTGTGAACCGCCACCAATGACAGCCAGTCCTTCTCCTGCATCCCATCCCTAGCAAAGTTTATGCCCAGTGCAGGCTCTGGAAGCTCAGGAGGCACCTCCTCAACAGGCAAGTTAACTTCCCATGTCTCATTTGGAAGCCCATATAGGCATAAGTTTTCCTTCTCTGCAAATAAATTTAATGCATTCAAGAAAGAAATGTAAATCCAGAATTTTCACCGATATAACCTTGCTGAAATGAATCACAACAAACTTACAGCACGTTAATAACTTTTAAGTCGTTAAGATTGCATCAAAATAAAAATATCCAATGATATACTAAAACTTTTCTACTAACATATAAATATAAGCAGGTAGGAAAATAAATATTAAATTTAATCAAATAGCAATGAGCACCACATGTCAGTAGAATTTTGTCAAGTAGAATCAGAAACCAAACTGCTCCTAGGAACTGAAATTTAAGAATAAATCCAAGATATCAAATGTGCTTTATTATTGTCAAGGAAGCAGCATATTGAAGTCAAAGAGTAAGTTTCATGCGTAAATGAAGAAAATGAAACATTCCCCACGTACACCATAAAACAAAGATAACTTTATTTCTACATTTTCATTTTGCTCGCCTTTTTAGTTCCAATTGTATGATGCCACATTCAAGTTAGATTAAAAAGGCGTTTCTTATAATTGTTAATAAACCTACACTTGAAGTTTTACACAAGAAATACACATTAAAAAATAGTGCAGAGTGACATGTAATACAACAGCATAATAACCATGTCACCAGAATATAAATGTCAACGTTCACAGCAAATAGAAGCAAAATTCAAAATCATGAGAAAACACAGGCCCACTTTGAAGGAAACAAAAAAAAATTGCAAAGATTCACCGAGTCCAGGCAGTAACATGAGACAGGTTGATTAGTAGAGTAAATAAACCAGGATATCGACCGTGATGAAAAGGTAAAGGTTAACAAAAGACACAGGTTACGCAACCATGTGGAACATGCTATTGTTAAGCTTTCATATCGAGGTTCCAAATTGAACACTTGACAGAGAGGTTAACTAGAAAAACAGTCCACTCTATCAAAAAAAAAAAAATGAGACAGTCCACTTGCAAGAAAAGTAATGCATCCATATAGCTCGGCAAATTCTCTCTGCCTAGCAGGAGAAGCAAATATAATGTAGGAAATAAACCAAGACTTGATATCATCAAAAAGAATCAAGCGGCAGATATGATAAATAATCTGAGAGGACTTAAAACAAGAAATGTGCTAAAAGAATCCATGGGTGAATTATGAATCCTTTACTGAGTACTCCACGTAAAACATGCTGACAGAAACAACCATCACCAATTTATGGATTGATAAGGCCAAAAAGGAAATCAAACCATTACCTATTTATGGACTGATAAGGCCAAAAAGGAAATCAAAGTCTCACATAACTAAAGATCAAACTGAAATTGCAAATTCAAGCACTAGACATTAGACAATAATTTTGACTAAAAGAACGTAAAAACAATATCATACAGAGATAGACAAGTAGTCGTTAATTAAAGAAAGAAAGAAAGAAAACTGGAGTAGAGGAAAACAAACACACAGTCAACGCTGCACCTTTAACCATGAGAATGAAATACATAAAAGAGCTAAAGAAACCAACCAGGATCACACTGTTGGTAGAACTTGTCAACATCTGCCATAAAAACCCAAACCCATTAATTGAATTAGATTTTAAGTTCGAAATTTTTAAAAAATTAAAACAATAAAAAAAAAAAGAACAATAACAAAAACAACAACAAAAGAACGAAAGAAAGAAAGACGAACGAACCAGTGGTGAGAGCCTTAATCAAGCCAGAGCGTCTGCCCTTGAAGTCGTTGAAGACTTCATCTACCGTTCTCGGTATTGGGTGTGGTATACCTTCCATTCGCTTTTCTCAAATCCTCTTTAAAATGTTCCTTCACTAACCCAAATCCTTAATCTCTCCTTCTACTATGTACTTATATTGAAATATGAATATAGTCAAACTAAATGAAGAGACGTATACGGACAAACTACAAATAAATGGGTCTTTTGAATCGAATTTGAGAGCAGCAAATCACAATTAAAGGAAAATCTGAATTAGGGTTTTTTGGTGGCTTGTGAAGAGAGGTGGGATTGGAAATTGGGGATTTACTTCAATTTATATTACATTATTATATTATAGTTGGATGGTGAAAGAGACGAGGAGACGGATAACGGAAACAAAAGCCAATTTTAGACCAAAAGATTGAGGGTCTTAACTTATGTAATGCCCTACCCTCCCTGGCCTTGCCTTCGTCTCCCTTCTGGTCAAATCATATTTTTTGAATTTTATAAAATAAAACTTTATTTTTTAAAAAATTAATATTTTAGTTTTTTTAGAGATTTTTTAAATTTTTCAAAAATATTAAATTTATTTTTTTCAATATTTTAATTTTACGATAAATTTTATTTTTTGGATTTACTATTTTTTGTAATTTTTTATTTTATTTTTTGAAAATTCTTTATATTTTTTAATTTTTTTTGTCTCTTAAAAATTTTTTTATATTTTTTAAGATTTAAATAATAAATTATAAAAAAGACTTTAGAACTTGTTCTGTTTTAATATATTTGAAATGTAAAAACATAAAAATCTAAAAGTAAAAAAAAGAAAACAATATCGAAACACAAAAAAATTCTTATTCTGATTTATTCTTAACTTAATAATATAAAAATGTGTAAAAAATTTTTAAAACTCATAAATTCTTTTTAAAAACACAAAAAATAAAATATATATATTTTATAAAAAACAGAAAATTTTAAAAATAGAAAATTTTATAAAAATTTCAAAATTTTAAAATATTAAGATTAAATATTTTTGTTTAAATAATATGTTAAATTTTGAAACAAAAACTTTTAAAAATGAAAATTTAAAAAATTAAAATATGGAAAATTTTAAATTTAGTATTTTAAAAAATATAGAAAATTTTTTAAACAATTGAAAATATTGAATTTTTTAAAAATAATATAAAATTTTATAAAATTCAAAACATATGATTTTTAAAAATTAAATTATTTTTAAAAATGTTAAATTTAATATTTTAAAATATGAAAAATCATTTAAATTTTTCAAAATATTAATTTTTAAAAAAAATTTTAAGTCTAATTTTTGAATAAGTAAAATATATATATATTTTTATAAATAATTGGATCAACATTATCAGATTCAATTTATATTAAAACGAGATTTTTACAAAATTATAATAAAGAGACTAAAATTCAAATTATATATTAGTACAAAGACCATTTTCATAATTTGATAATTGATTTCATTCTTTTAAGTTGTCACGTCAGTAAAATCAATGTCTATATCAACAAAATCAATGTCACATCATCAAGTTAACGACACGTTAACATTTTTAACAATAAATATGTAACGGAGTTAATGATAAGATTACAATTATCAAGTCAAAATAGTATGAGAACTAAATTTATATGAATTACAATACATGACTAAATTTTAATTTTTGGTAGAATACAAGAACCTCTAGCATTAGTTACCCTCTTTTTTTTCTTTCGAAAACTTTTTTATTTGTTTTTCAGAGTACATAATAAATAATAAAATTGATTAATATCATGAATGGTCTCAGAACTATAATGAATTGTTTAATGTGGTATTGAAATTTTAAAAATATTTAATATAATACTTAAATTATAAATCTATTAATTAATGTAGTACTTATTTTTAACGTGGATAGTTTTAAATAATGATATATAATACACAAACAACCTTTCAAATACCAAATTAGTTACAGATTCATAGTTTAAATACCACATTAGAGATTTTACTATAATTTAAAAGTCGTTCAGATATTAATCTTAATAAAATTTAGATTTTGGGCACTATGTTACCTTGGGTTTAAGCATTTTTTGTCCAAAGAAAACCTTGTGTTTTAATTCTATCCATTCATGTTTTGAGTTGGACCTCACAAGTTATTGTCATATCAAAATGATTTAGTAAATATCACCCTATATTGTATTTATGTACACATTATTAAATGTTAACTTGATTTATAAATATATATTGATTATAAATATCCTATTATGTTCGAGTTTAATTAAAAAAAGGGGTAAAACACAGTATTGATCATATTATGATGTGTTTTTCAAATAATCAACAAATTATTAAAATTTTCAATTTAATCACTAAAAATTGATTAAGTTTTTTTTGTCATCCAGTCATTAATCTCTAACGGCATGTAGACATCATATTATCACGCCAACTATCAAATGCCATGTGGTATTTTCACATCATTCAATAAGCTATGTCGCATTGTTATATGGCATTATAAATTTTGAAAAAATAAATGTTGCTAATGTGGTAATAACGCATGACATTTGATAGTTGAGTGATATTGTTATGTCAACATGCTATTGGAAACTAACGGTTGGGTGACTAAAAAATTTTAATCAAATTTTAGTGACTAAATTGATAGTTTTAATAATTTAGTGACCATTTTAAAAACAAGACCGTAGTTCAATGACTAATGATGTAATTTACTCTTTAAAAATATCCTTATTAATCTGAGTTCAATAATCTATTTGATATATTTTTTAGTCTTTTCAATACAATTTGAATTTTATTAATTTGGATCCAAATCAAGCATATTTAAAATTCAATTGTTGGGATTTGAAATTTATTAACTCGGGCCTTTAAATTGTCGAGGCCTCAAGACTATTAATTGGCCTCCATGATTGGTTAATTAAACCTTAAACAAGTTTGTCCAAGTTATTTTTATTTCTATTTTCTTTAACATTGATTTTGATAAAAAAAAATTTTGAAAAATAAAAAGAAAAAAAATGAAAAACAAAAATGAAAAAATTTGAAATAAAAATAGATAAACAAAAAGGGCAAAAAAAGATAAATCTGAAAGGGATTCGGGTTGAGCTTTTTGAAAATAAAGTGTTTGAATTAAACCCTTTTGGATAAAAAATTCAAAGGGATAATGTAAAACAATCTCTTGAATCATAAATTTCTCTTGATTTATAGTCCTATTTCCTTCAAGATTAAATCATTATTTAACTAACCACAACAATAACCAACAATCAAAGAGGCAAAGACAACAAAAAATGTTTTGATTATTGGTTAACTTTAAGGTTTTGGGCTTAGTTATTTCAAGATTTTTTTTTTTTTTTATTTCTTAACTAAAAAGGAAAGGAGATTTTTCTAGGAGTTTGGAGTTGGACGAAGGTTAAAATGGCAAATGAAGCTTTTGTTATGATTTTAGATCTAGGCTTAATGGGAGAAATTTTGGAAAAACCAATTAAAAAAAGTAAAGGAAGAGTCAAGAGAGTTAATAGATTTTTTTTGGGCTTTTTGGTACCAACAATGGTGACTAATGGTGGCACACAATGGTCAATATAATGAAGTTTCACTAGGCTTTAGGGAACTTGAAGATTTCAGCCATGTTTATAGGATTCTTAAAGAAACTAGAGCGAATTGGAGCTAGAGCAAGAAAGGGCCAAAAAAACAAAAAATTAATTTTTTGCTATTTGAAAAAAAAAAAACGAAAATGATATCATTTATGAACCTAACTCGTGTTTAAACTGATGTATCAACCCACGAATGACTCGACCTATAAATGCCCAAGCCAATAAGCTGTTGACTAAGCTATATACCAAGCTGTGCCATTGACTAACCCACCAAATCTATTGATTGGGTAGTTAACCAAGCCATATATTGAACTAGGATTGTATTTGTTTCAATCTTTGGCCCTTATTTGCTGCTAATTACTAGCTTGCCTCTACTATATACGATTGATGATTATGACTCACTAAATGTATTTACTTGTTTCTTATTTTTCTTGTAGTTACCTCTATGTTGGTGTGTGTTTGATTATTTGAAACTCAAATTCTAGATAATTGGCTTTTCGAAATTGCTCACTACCCAAATTTTACTTTGTATTTTCTCTTTTAAGGTTAATTGCCAAGGTTAATTACTTGACTATTGATTATGTAGGGATTGAATCCCATTTCACTTTGAATTAACCAAATCTATCATGATTTTATTTTGACTCCTTTAAGATTTTTTTTCCTTCTTCAATGAAATCAATTTTCTTAAGATAAGGTTTTTTCTAATTTAAAAAAAAAAGTTAAAATATTAATTTTTTCTTAAGATAAGTAATCCTTAAGATAATTTTTTTTTAATTTAATGAAAAAGTTGAAATATCAATTTTTTCTTATGATAAGTTTTTTTTAAATATTAAAGAAAAAGTTAAAATATAAATTATCCTTAAAATAAATTTATTTTGAAAATATTAAGAAAAAAGTTAGAATATAAAATTTTCTTAACATTTTAAAAAATAAAATTAAGTTTTAATCTATCAACTATGGAATTATAAAAAGTTACAATTGCAATTTATATGTAAATCTCCAAGTGAGAAAATATTCTTAAATTTTTGTTAAAATATTGGAGTAATTTAAGAAAACTTTCCAATATCAAAGTTTTTAAGTAATTTTGAAGTTTCGCAAAAATTTTTGAATTCAATAATAGTCTTTTTAAAAAAGACAAAAGTCATCTTGGATATTTTTTATGTGAGAAAATATTATTAAATATTTGTTAAAATTTTAGAGTAATTTATGAATATTTTTCAATCTATAAATTATTTTAGAAGTTTTTTAATATTTTTAGAACTTTGGATAATATGAAAACTATATGGTATTAGGAGTATAATCGATTGAGTCCGAGCTCGAACTTAAATCTAAATTCGAGGTTTAAAATTTGGCTCGAACTCGATCAAGTTCTATTTCTTTAACTCGAGTTAGACTTATGATAAAATTAAGCTTTTCAAACTCGTTCGATTTAGCTCATGTAACGTATAAAAATAAATTCAATTCTTATACTTGACAAATTTTTGATTTTATGTGCTTAAGATTTAGCTCAAGTTCGATATTTTTTATCAAACCTTATAAATATTGTATTTTTCAAGATGATAATAATAATAACAACAACAACAACAACAACAACAACAACAACAACAATAATAATAACTTACACAATAACTAAATCCAAAAAATTATCTAAACACAAAAAAAGTCTCTCATCAAATTAGTCAAATACAACACACAAATAAAAGACATAATTAAACTTAGAAACTAAAGTATTGAAAAAAATTAAATATTCAAGCAAATAAGTCCACATACAAGTTACAACAAGTCAACAACAATATATATACTTGTGATGGTGCCTTCATAATATTATGTCTTTAAATGAAGCCCATATTTTTTCCTAACAAATCGACACAAAATAATAATTAAAAAAATAAATTATA